GGGATCACCCAAAAAAACCCTAAGAGTCCCCATTCCCGGAAGCCTGTGGCGGTTTTAGCTCCTCACTCGCCCTCGCGTGAAAATTCATCAGCATAAATTTATAAAGCAAACTGGAAATCAGAAGGCCCAGGACCCGGTCAGATCCGACCAGTTTGCTGCGTTTTACCGGAAAGCATGAATTATTTAAGGATGAGTGCACGGGGAGGCTGGAGAGGGGGAAGACGAAGCCTCCATTATTCCTCCATGATTTAATGAAGATGTCCCAATAAAATAAAGGAAGATTATAAACACAACCCCCCCCAGCGCCTCCCGGAGACGCGGCATCGATCTCTCAAGGCCATTTCAGCTCTTTACTGCTGGAGAGGCGAGGCGAGGCCAGGGAAAGTTTTTAAGGGCAATAAAACCCACCTCCCTCCTCCCCAAACCGGCGTGGGATGCTCGGAGCCTGCCCTGGCCCTGGGTACCAGCGGGTCAAACCCCAAGCGGCGTGAAACTGGGCTGTACTGGGCTGTGGGCAGCCTTGTGCCGGTTTAACTGGGAGGTGAATGCCATCCAGCTTGCAGCGGGGTGAAGGCTGCTCCAAGGACGGCTGCACACCCTCCAAGGATGTCGGAGGCACTTTGGCCCCGCTTAGCCCGGGGTTCAACCAGGGAGATGCCGGCTGAGGGATGGTGGCAAGGAGAACGTCGCCCCACCCTCGGGTCCTTGCTGGTCCCCACCATGGCCCACCCCGGTCCCCCACTCACCGGGACTGCAGATGCTCCAGCTGCACCTGGAAGCTCTCGCTCTGCTCCGTCTGCTCATCCAGCGACCGCTGCAGCTTCCGCGTCTGGTTGTGGGCCTCATCCAGCTGCAGGATGGGATGGGATGGGATGGGATGGGATGGGGCAGGCCTGTCGGCAGCCACAGAGGGAGCGGAGCTGCCCACCCTGACCCCCTCCACCAGCACAAGCTTCCCCACCTCGTCCTCGGCTTGGGCCAGCTCCTTCTTCAGCTCCTCCACCCTCAGGCGCAGCTTCTTCACCTCGCCCTCGTGCTGCTCCACGCGGCGGTTGGCATGGGCCAGCTCGGCCATCTTCTCCTGGTACTGCTTCTTCAGCTTGGTGTGGATGTGCTTCAGGTCGGCCAGCTCCTGCGGTGGGCATGGGGTGGGGGGGCTGAGCGGGTGAGAGCCACCCCCACTGCCGGGTGCCCCCTTCTCCCTCCCCAGGGACCTCTCCCACCACCTCACCCCATGATGGACAGGGTGACCACCATCCCCTACATGAAGGGTGGCGGCAGAGTTTGAGCTTGAGGAGGTCCTGGGGGATGCTGAGCCACCGCTGAAGTGACAGGGTCACCCAGGGAAGGGGTGGGTGGGGGACGGGACCACCCCCATGGCACCTTGTTCTTCTCAAAGAGCTCGGCCTGGATGGTTT